TAATAATAATAATAATAATAATAATAATAATAATAATAATAATAATAATAATAATAATACATAGATCCTTGAATGAGTTCCATCTGAGTCTTGTTTTCTTTTATCTAAAAATAAAGTAAATTGCCTATGCGCAGGCTGCTTGAGGGATTAAAAAAAAATTTTCCTTATGGGCGGGGACTACCAAAATGGGAAGCATGCCTCTGCCTGCATAACTAGGGAGAGACTCTCCACTCCACAAAAAACAATGGCTTGAAAGCAGCTCCTCTGCCATCCTCCCCCATTCCTCCGCTACCTTCCCTAAACACCTCCCCCATTGCAAATGCAACATGCTGTTTGGGTGGGAAATGCCTGGAATGCAATAAAGCCCACCCACTCATCTCCTGCTGTCAGGCTGGATAATGTAGTGAGAGGAGAGGCAGAGAAGCCAGAGGGGAGCCAATCGGAGCCCTTGGAAAGAAGGGGACTGAGGGAAAGTATGTGTGTTGCAGCATGCTGCGGATACCCTCACTCACGCCTTTGCCTGGCTTCCTTCCTCCTGTGGTCTCCTCAGTGCTCACTCCTGCTCCCACTCCCTAGTCTAGCTTGATTGCAGGCGGAGCCACACCGCCTTTTGCAAGCCCGCTGTCAATGAAGATGGGTGCCGGTGAGAGCTGGCTTTTTGAATAGCTTTCTCCTGCTGTTGTGGGGGAGGGATTGCTTCCTCCCCAGGCCTCTGTCTGTTTCTCCCCCCCTCAAGCTGGATAAAGCTAGGTAAAAAGCTATCCCTCACTGGCGCCCAGCTTCACTGATAGCAGGCAGCATTACCTTTAGGGAGCTGCAGTCTCAAAGACTGCATAGTAAGAAAAAAGGCATTTAATTTCCTTTTGAAAGAAGTTTGGCGACTGTGGCCAAATTTCTCCCACCTGTTGACGCTAACTGGTGTAAACTGGCTGAATACCACATACCAGTGGCAGACAGGTTATTTGGCTCACTTCAATCTATTGGTATTTGTTAGAGACTTGGGAATCTAAGATGTTATTTTCTGAGGGTTGTCTATCTTAGAAATGCTTTTCAATTTTTCATAATTTACAGTAAAAACCATATGGGAACCCTCAGTACCCACAGAAATCCAACTATGGCCAATCCAAAGTGCCAATTTGAAGGAGAAAAGGAGTAAAATAAAGGTGTTCATAGGTTGATGGAGGGTAGATTGGTATTCAAAAACTCACCATCAACTTGCAATGTAATTAATTCACGAAATAATGCTGTGCCTTTTTCACCATGTGCTTCTACAATGTAAGTTCCAGCATCCATTTTCTTCAATCTATTTATTTTCAGACTTCCATTAAGAAATAAGTTGTATTTGTTTGGTTCTGGTTGGTTTTTTGACATAAAAATATTATTGTTTGTAATGTCTGCAATAAACGTAGATTTCTTTTTCCATATTAAAAGTGTTGGTCTGGCACTGGTTTTGGGTGTTGAAAGAATAATTTGGTCTCCTACATGACCGTGAATCTTGTCATTCATGGACACAGAACCTACAAAAAAAAGAGCCAGTTGTTACATTATTTGAATCCTACCATCGCATATTAGATGTTGGTTAAAGTAGAGGTATGGAAGTTTAAAATCCCCATTGCTTCAGTTTTTCTTTTGTTTAATTTTAAACATGCATGAACTGAACATGTAATACACTGACTCTGAAAAATTCTGATACTTTGTAAAATGTCTGTGTGTGTGTGTGTGTGTGTGTGTGTGTGTGTGTGTGTGTGTGTTAAACTCAAATCACTTTTCACTCCTGGTGACTATATGAATNTTCTATTTTGCATTTTACTGCACTGAAAAAACGTTGGAAGTCAATCATTTGTTCCCCTTTTCTCTTTATCCCACACCTTTATTCCCACTTTTTCCTTCCCCGTTTTCTTATTATCTTTATTTTCATTTATATCTTATTTTATGATAATCTCAATCAAAATTTGTAGAAAAAGGTGATATGGAACCCAAACTAAACATAACTCTGATTGAGTCAGACAATATATAGTGTTTCTATACTAGCATCAGAAACTCTGATCTCCACTGGGCAGCAATTCAGGGCTGACAAGAAAATCACCCAGCCTACTCGTTAGGTAACTAAAGAGCCTAAAATGGGAAAATAAAAAATTAATACATTTTAAAAGGCCACATTTTATGATATAGACTCATTTCTCAGATATCTATGCTCTTACATGAGATTGTACATTTTTATTTTATTTTAGGTGGCTCTGATGTTAGGAGAAACCATTTAATCAATGGGAAAATCATTGCTGGTTTCCTTCTACAGTGCAATCTTGAACAAGATTGCTTGGTGCAAAATCTCATTTTTCTTCTATAACTAAGTCCCATTGCACTCAACAGTCCTTATATTTAAGCAGAAATTGTGCTGTCGTAAAAAATAAAAATACAATAGCCAAGAAAAGCAAAACAAAACAGAAACAAATATGTAATGAAAATGATACCTTTTCTTTTTATTCCTCATTATTTGTAAGAAATGCAAATATGCCTTTTCTTCCTACAATGAATCAGATAATACTAATCCTATACTGCATGCTTACTATTCTTCATATGATGTTACATTTTTTAATGTTTTTAATTCATTATCCTCACCTTATGCCTACCATCATTATCCACAATTTAATTAATAATTATCCATCTGTTTCTTCTCTTTTTTTCCACCCTCAATTTTCTGCTATGGATTCTCTCTTGGACTAGATTTTTCAATTGCAATTTAACAAGTGAAATTACACATTGGCTTATATTAATGTCCTGTAAATAGTAAACAGGGTTTTGAAATATTTAAATTATGGTAAACTAAGAAAAATAGTAGCCAAATAACTGCAATCACTGGGGAAAAAATTCTACAATCAAGCTAATTCAAAGAAGTCACACAAAAAATGTTTACCTCACCTAATGTTTGGACCCAAATACATTTTGTTCCAAGTGTATTATTCAAATAGCTTTATTTCCTGTGAAAATATCCTACATTTAGGATATAGAAAATACAGAAGTATATTTGATGGCTGATGTTTTATTAGCTGCATGCAGGTGTTTGTGTAAAGACTGGTAGGATATGAAGGCACCTATTCAAACCTATACCCAATGTACCTGTAATCCTTGTAGACTGTACAGTTATCCATGTTTAGCCTCATTATTTATCTTGTTTGCAGCAATAAATGCAGAAATATATTTAAAAGCAGTCAGAGATGGGATATGAGGATAGAACATATGTGTGCCTATGTCTTCCCATCCCAGTTTATTTCTATTATTTTGTTAAATAATCGCTAGTGTAGATCTACTAAGCAGCTGCAATAGTAATAGCATTTAAATTTATAAACTTATCCATAGTACTTTGGGCCGGTTTATAATGTCAGCAAGTTGTCCACAGCAGTCTGGATCCTCATTTTACTGACCTCAGAAGGGGGGAAGGCTAAGTCAACCTTGGCCCTGTCAGGATTGAACTCCAGGCTATGAGCAGAGTTATCTTGTAATACTGCACTCTAACCATTGCACCACCAGTAGCTTCTGAGACCTCCATACTTCTGCCAACACACGAAGATTTACCTTCCACAGGAAGATGCAACATCTGCCAATGCAG